AAGTCTAGATACATTTTCTCCAAGAATTAATTTTAGCAATAAATCTACATGATACTTTAACGACTGATTCGTTATGCTGCATTAAGGGTGTTACGGAAAGTATTTGAATATCGAGAATTTTCATATTTCTAGATGGTAATTGGTGCGCTAAGTCCGAGAGAAATGAAAACAGCATATATCAAAAGCGTAGATGTCAGCATACGAAACTAGTGATAAATGCAGCAGCGATCACGTAGCTCCATTGGGATATGTGCATTCATCATTATTCTATTCAATGGTCCGTATTCATTTCGAACTTTTTTCCGCCTCTTTTCGCCGGAAGCGTTGCACCGCCGATCTATAATGCCGGATTCGAGACGAGCGTTCCGAGGCAGGGGACTGAAATCCTGAGACATATTTATAGCTCGTCTAATATTTAAATCTTTATTATAACCATAAATTTGTTTTACGATAACAGACGAACTTCATTTTATTTCGCATAATAATTATTGGTCAATGAGTGACGTGATATTGCACAACGTATTTTATAAATATTAATATAGCTTTTAATTGGATAATATTTATAACAAGTACAAACCGCTCATTAATTCTCAATTATTTTAAAAATTCTCTCTCAATTCTTAATTATTTTCAATAGAGACGAACGAAATTACGATTACATTTATATTCAGACTTACACGACAAAAGTCGAAATACTGAAATATGTTTAAATAAACCTATCTTAATTGTTATACCATAGATATTTTCGGTTGCAAAAAGATATTGCAGCTATCATCGAGCGGACTATTATTATCAGGAGAGATCTGTAATGCCAGCAACACCCGTCGGAGGGATGATAAATGTTTGTCCCTATTTAGCCTCATTACCAGCGATTTGTTATGTCGCATATGGCCACGTCGCTTCGTTGAAATAAACTCTTACTTATAAAAACATTACTTTTGCTTTAGATACCTTTCTACTCACCGGTAATTCTATTCTCGTGTTAAGGTATTACCATCAAAATTACTATACGTAATTCGATATTATACAAAATTAAAATAGATACACTAGTAAATAATTATTTAAGAATCACAATCAAATTTTTATTTCTTTATTAAAGAAAAATGCTCTTGGCTTTAAGAAAAATGTAATAAAATTAAGAATGAACAAAAATGCTATAATAATTAGGTACTATAAGCACAATCTGTTTCAGCAAATATTTTCTCTCTTTTTTATCTATTTATAATTATAAAAAATAATTATAAATACCGATTATGTCATATTTTTCTGAAAAAAAAAAACAATTTATATAGGGCTTTTCATACATAATTGCAAAAAAATAAGAATATATACTTGATCATTCACTAGTACGCGTATACACTTTACTTAATCTTATCTTAGCTCTATGGCACCAACGATCAGATCCTTTTTAATTTTACCGATGTAATCTACTCTTGGATATTAACTCGCAAGCCCATTAATATTGAACATGGTGACTGGCGGACGGTATAGAATTTGCCAAATGACGAAGTCAATGCACACAAGCTGCATTTAGCCTTGACCAGTTGATCCGAGATTATAATGTATGGTATGCGTCCTAATATCGGATTAAAATGTAATGTGCAGCGATGCGAGTTCATAGAAGCCGTTCTCGCGTACATATTCGCGCGGTAATTATTAGAATGCGATTATGCGATAGTTAATCACTTAATGGAAATATGCATATACAATGGAAATGTAGATTGAAATTCTCATTCTGGGAGAGATTAAGCACTCCATGATGAAAGAAGATTGGATTTGTATTTTTTAAAATAGCGAAATGGATACTCGGGTGCTGAGATTTTATCTTTTAGTAAAATGTAACCTAACAGCCAAATACGTAGCAGAAAAGTATCACTATATCGTTTTATTTCAGCAAAAGTAAGAGATTCTTAACATCCGATTGTAAATATTAAAATAAATCGTTGATTCATAGATATTAAAATTGATTTTCGTAGATATTAAAATTGAATAAATGAAAAATGGAAAATTCAATCGGTAAATCGTAAAATTCTTAAGCCTTGAGTTTTATAGATTAGGAAGCGAAACCCTTCATCAATTTTTCATCTCTATTTCTATTTCTACATTTCCATGATTGACATGCCAGCCGTCGCTTCTCATTAATAACGTTTTCCTAAGATACGTCACGCTCGCTTAAATCGTCGAACGTGTTCGCAATTGAACATCCTCCGATATGCAGACACGCAGAATTCGTAATTAACGGTACAGTATTACGCGCCGCGCCTGCATGTGAGCACACGCCGCTTAGCATTTAACTCGCTCAAAAATTCCGTTTCGTGCGAGGAACGAGGGCTCAATTACGTCGCGTTCAACGATTCAAGCGGGCGCGGCATTACTGAATGTGATTATCGCGACGCGGAACGATGGAACTGTCGCATGGATTTGCCCGCGTCATCCGGCCGTTTTACGACGAGGAAATCGTGCCAACCACGGTGAGCCATGAATATTTATCAGCTTCGAGGGCAGCCCGGTGGTAGCCTCGCAAGAGTGCCTGGCATTGATTCGACCGGCTCTGCAAGTTCGGCATTGTATACGGTGTTATTAGCGGCTTCCGAGTAATCAGCGTGACAATGTCGAGCTTATGTATTGTTTTGGGTGGGGAGGTAACAAGATAATGGATGGAGGGATACGAACGCATGTAGTTAACTCTGGCATTGCAAATATATTTAAACCCCTTTGGGCGTAGCCCTCGCGGATATTTTCCTTGTTGATGAAATGCGATGAGCTACATTACTCTATTTATCTCAGATAAATATTTGCTAATTAGGGAAGCTTACATTCTAAATACATATACATTATTTATAATCTCTTCTCCGTATTTAAATGCATGATCAAAAAGATGTTAAAAATCAGATTTTATTATGAGATATCATAGGATATCATAGGCAGATTTTATTGATATACTGTAAACATTACATTCATTTTCATAAAGAGTGTGATCCACACTCGTTTCATTTAAATATCGCAAATACTTTACATAAAAAAACTATATTTCTACTAAAATAAAAATTCATCTCTATATCTTCGGCTCTATAAAATATGTTATTGAAAATAATCTCTATTAAACAAAAGTTGTTCTGAGATACGTTGCTCATCCACCAACGTTGCTACCAACAACTTTAACAGAATTTAAATTTATTTGCTGTTCGCAATACATGAATAATTCATGATAACGTACACGTCGGATCATTAATTACCACTCGATAATCATATTTTAGTTCTTAACGGGATGCAGTAACCCGAGGCTTTTAAGCAATTAATGGGCGCCGTGTTAAAGGAGGGATATCGAAAGTGCCGGCGACACAAATGCGATTTTCGCGACATGGAAAATTGAAGGCCCCAGTCATTGCGCTCGGTGGAAAAAAAAGAGCCTTCGCGGTTTGGCTTCCGGCGGCGACGCGACGGGCGAAATAGATCGTAAAAGTTTCATTAACCTTTGAGTGCTGATGTCTCATGCTCTCAGTATTTTACCTTCGAATTAGGAGTTGGTTTCATTCTATTCTGATAAAATAACAGAATTTATTACTTTGACATCGAATTGTGTGTCATACCTGTTGTGTGTCATTAATATGACTATAGGTTTTACAAATAAAGCTAGAAACTTATAAGCAAGTGATACAATTGTTTGTAAATACAGATAAGAAAATTAATAATTATAATGTGAGAATTAAGACAAATTTATATCCGATTATTGCAGAATATTTAAGTATTTGCAGATTACTTTTATTTCTAATTTCTCGTAACAAAATCGGCCACTACGCGTTTCTACTTCGCACGCATAACTCGCACATTCTGCGAGAGAAAAGCCGCCGCGTCGTTCAGCCGCCGTTCAGTGGCTGAAGACAAGGCTGAAGGCTGGTAGATGCTGCGAAGAGGAAAAGAAAGGCGTGGCACTTCCGCATGTGCTCCATCCTCTCGAGGAAGCTGACGTAATTTCCACGCTGAATCAGCAGTCGGCGCGAGCAGTCGGCGAGGCGCCGCGAGGCGAAAAGTCCATTAAATGTCCGACGACGTCGCCTTTTCTCCTTCCTTTTATTCTTCGAGTTACGTCCACGATATTCGCCGCCGCGGCCAGTTTATATTCCTTCCAGGGACAGCTTCAGGTGCAGCCTTCTGATCCTGTGCATTGCATCGATCCTCGCACGTGTGGAAGCCCTTAAGCCCTTTGTGGAAGGGTCCGAGCACACCTGACAATCTTCAGGCGTCATGGTAATGCAGCGCTGACTACGTTTTCCCGCGTGATCGAACGATAATATAGACGTGAATGATTTGCGCGCGTCGAAAAATGTCCGTGCAATTCTATGTGATAGCGAAGTACTTTGGCAAAATTGACGACAGCTTTATAATTTTGATTCATTGCTTAGGAAATCTCACGAAAAGGTGTCGAATGAAAACAGCTGCTGTTTATATAGTATTAATTAATATTACCGAATTAATTTCGTTGAATTAATTAACTGTCGCACGATCGTCGGACTAACGAGTTCCGTGTGGATTGAAATTGCGGATCATAAAAATTTCATCGTCGCGCGGCGGAAGGTGGCCGAGCGACGTGAATTATTGCGAGGGCTCGTGCAGCGAAATTTTCCCAGTTGAAAAATATTTATGGCTTCTTAAACCTGAATCGCAATATAGTGGCAATTAATTAAAACCATATTTCTCAGAGTATCTGTTTATGCAGGGTCTTGTCGTTTAATTTTGTCTACAATGAAATTTGGAAGACTTATATTCTTTATAACTTTTTATCGTTAACGATAAGCTTTAAAAAAAAAGTTTCATATTTTTTGAACAATGAAAAAGTTACAAAAATTAGGAATTTATTTATTTTATAAAATAATATAGAGGAAATATGAAACTGTAATTTACAATTTAATGGAGTAATTTTATTTTTATTCTTTTTTTTACTTTTTATCTCTTATTTTTAGTTAACTTTATTTGTAGAATGTATTAAATTTTTTGCAATATTATATATAATTTCTTGTATATTTCACGCAATAATAATAACTTCTATTTTTTACATCTTCATTTTTCAGTTACTTTCATGAGCCTTTCAGAATAAATTCTAAGATACTTTCTGTCTCAAGTGGCAATATGCTAAAGTAACTGCAATTTAAGGTATTAAGTAAAATGCAGCATTTTATCTTTAACCGTCCTACTCGTGATTGAGTCCCTCAAGCAGGAATGTGAATTTCTTCTAAGCCATATAAGCTTGATCTAGCACCGCTCTGAAGTGAGAACATGTAACATCCGGTACATAGACTGATTTCACGTGTTGAGACGAGTCCGGTAACTTCTCGTCGATTCGTCCTCTCACGTTGGGATAAAATTCAATGACGCCACTCTGATGTGCCGGACCGACCAGCGACCATGGCAAACTACGATGCAAATGGATCGAGACGTGCGGATCGAACTTTGGGCGAACCTCGAAGAGAGTTCTACGGAGTTTCGAAGAGACAACCACTTCGCGGCTTGTCGGACGCTCTGACGAATTCATGATGAATATTCAGACTTACAAAATAATATATTATCACATATATTAATCGCAAGAAGTTTTGTGTGTAATATATGGTTCCATGTTAATGAGTATATAATGGTCAAATGCGGTTTCGAGCCACAGTTTCCCAATACTTTCCAACGATAATGCGCCGAATTTCTAACGCGGTCTTTATAACCACAATCGATTGTACTATGTTATATCTTGCATAACAAATTAATGAGGCTAATTGATGAACTACTTTTAACAATATACCAATATGTGTACATATTTTTTAAACATCTGAAGAGAAATTGTTTTTATGTTGCAAGCATTGTTATACAATGGCAGGTTTTATTGAAGCCTATCATTTTTCCTATAAATGCAAAAGTCTAATAAAATGTGATATATTGAAATTTTATAATTTTACGATAATAGATGCATGTTAAATCAGAATGTTTTTTCAATACTCGAATAAGGATCAATAAAATAACGGTATCATTTTAGGAAAAAAAGCTCGTGTTTACCATACATACTGTCGATGTCGAATAATTCCAACTCAGTGAACATAGCGCGTTCTTGCTCAGTCAGCATAGTCGGCTCTAAAATTTGTAAGTCAACTAATATCCAACTAACGGCCGTATTGACAAAAGTACGTGTATCAATTCCTGTATCTATGCCAGCCGTTGTCAAAATCACGTTTTCGTACAATGCCTGCAGCACCAGCGTGCAAATAACCAAGCCCAAATCGGCATCCGGATCCCAAACTTGTTTTACGCTCTGCAAAATCCGATCCTTAAATTCCAACAAATACCTTCGAGTTTCAGCGATGCCTCGTCGCTTTAATAACTCTTCGGTTCTAGCGTGTAGATCGAATCTCCCAGGCAAAATGTGTCTGTCAACAAAAATTTCAAATTTTATTGAAACTCGTAATTTGTCTTTATAAAACTGATACAGATTCAATTTTTAAATTCGCAATTTTAATATCAAACACACATCTCTTGATTACTATAATATTTTTAAACAAATTCTGTATTCAAATATTCCGAATCTGACAGGCGATGGAGGTCTTTTCGCTAATACAGTGGCGGTGCACTCGGCATCGTCGTCATTAGCGTAGAAAAGCCTCGGCCTCGGCATACGATTGTATGGCAGGAGTCTAAGGAATTTGAACAAAGCGATTGTGAAGAAGGGAAAACACGCGATCAGATCTCCGTGATTTCTCCCGGTCTGGCCGGAGATGAATCGACGGAAATCACGGAGAAGAAATAAGAATCGCTGGAGAACAGTCGTAGCTTCTCGAGCTCCAAGCTCGAGTTTTTTTTCTGGCAAAACAAAAGCACGAGAACCAAGAGAGGAACAATAAACGGACGTACTGATTGACGATCGGATAGTACTAAGATAAGATTTTCAAAGAAAATGAGATAGTATATAATTTTATACAAATTATATATGTGTGTATATGCATATATAATTTATATCTTTATTTTACATCTATAAAATAATCATAAAAGTTTCGCTGCAAAATCATATTTTAAGATATTTAAGATTTACAAGTAAAGATTACGATATATTGATATAATAACTTTTATTTAATTAAATTATCGAAATCATTTCGACAATTTGAAATATTTTAGAATAAAAAATTAAATCTACAACAAATGCGGCAACTGGCAAACGAAAATGATTAAGTAAATTGTCTCAATTGGTCCTAGCCATTTGCTACGACTGGACATAATGTTTGCTGCTATCTTTTTGGCGAAAAGGAAGAATGGTGATTAGAACGGAAATTGTAGGAGATGTTACTGCAATCGTTCCGCTTAATTACGATCACAGCGCGAACGATTACGAGTTTACTTATTCTGCAGTTTCTTGGTGATTCAGGTGAGGTGACGATTGAACGGAGATTAGCGGAAAAGTAACTGCGAGATTGCCCGACAATAATTAAAGGGGTTGTCTTTAAGCGAGATTGCTTTTCAGCGACAATATATATTATCGAGTGAATAATATCAAAAATATTTTTATAATTAAAATTTCTTGTTAAACACGAGAGCTACATTTTGTTGCTGAATATAATTATTTTACGTGATATTACATTTTGTATTCGTAGAACATCATACGTATGTAATAGAGATAAAATATATTTCTGAAACGATAGTTAATATTAACGTACACCGTAGTACAACGTTATCAAGTATTTGCAGCAGATAAATTCTGAGATCCATGCGTTTAACGAACAGCGCGAAGTAGCGCGAGCAAGATAAGGTAATAATAGGATAAAGCTCTCGTGCAATAACCTGCAAATTGTGTTAAGTGACTGTGAATTACGCACGATCGATAGAATATTATTTCGGCTCCACCAAGCGCTAACAACCTCGCGAGAATTCGATCTCGATTATGCCTCCTCATTCGAAATTGACGCAACTCGAACGTTCGATGAAGAAATTTTAATGAAATAGAAATGCTTGTTTAATAAAACTTTTGTTTACGACGCACTGTAATAACTTATCTATTTTAAAGAATTGTTTTAGAATATTATTTCAATCCATGTTGCATTTCATGCGTTATTTATTTATCAATTTATACAACGGATTAGTAATAAATACATGATAATAATAATGGACTATAAATAATGTAATAAATAATAATAATATAAACATGCTTTCATTATGAAATATATAAAACGGAATAACGCAAATAAATTACAAAAGTTAGGATTTACATTAATATTGTAATGTACGTTATGATCTTATGAATTTTACTTATATCTTATTACAGGCTTTTGCGTGGAAATTATATTATCGTTTATGCTGAGGAATAAAACCTGACTGAAAATTACATACACACTCCTGTATGTGTAAACATCGCACATAACTTTTCTCATTTAATAGTACATTAAACCCTGAAAAGTGACTACTTTTAACGCTACATTATGTTATAATTTCAGCAGCGACTCTTTACACGTAAACGCAAAGATAAAAGTCCGGAGCTCTGCTTATTACACTTAATTGCAAGTAAATATCTTGTATCAAAAAGACATCATGGCAAGTTGAAATATATATATTTTTCAAATATATTAAAGTAAAAGTCTATTTTTTTTTACAAACTAAATGACCTCAAATAAGATAAATTGATTCTTTATCACTTACAATTCATGAGCTAAGAGTGGATCCGTGCTGTTAAGATCTTGATATTCGTGATCATCCCTGCTCGACAACGGACTTTCACAATATGACAGCGCTTTATCCTTCTCCACATTGCGGCACTCCCGATAATCCGTTTCGTCCTTTTGAAAATCCCCCATTCCACTCGTGATGATCTCCTGAATCGCGAGATTCGAGATAGTCGTGCTGTTCGCTCAACTTCAGGGCACTCTGCAACCGGAAATGAAATCCGTGCACGTACATACGTTGAATGGCGCACTGCGAAGTCCTTCTTGATCAGGAGCAGTTCCGTTCGACAAAATAATCTACGAATAAAAAATACGTGGCTGAAAGGTTTCCAGAAAAACGTAGCACACACTGTATCATTCCTTTTTTACTTTTTTAACTTTTTAAAAGTTAAATATTGTTATGTTTCACAAAATAATTATTATTAAATAAAATACTCTGACTAAAACTATAATTTTTTATGCCATAATTGTGATATTATTGTAAAATAATACGAACTCTTGTTATTAATACGTTTTTTCTATTAAAAAACTTTCTGTCCCACAATTTTCTGACAAATCTTTGCAATTGAAGTTTTGGATGAAAAATAATTTGTGGGCCAATTTTGATTTATATAAATAACTCCGTGCGTTTAAGAAATTATTTGTAATCAAGAAATTTCAAATTACCGCGAAAAGCTTCAAATATTTATAAATATTTTTGTAAGCATGTTATTTTATCAGAATATAAAGTCAATCGAGAATTTTTGGTATAAAATCGCGGAAGAGAGGAATAAGAGAGAATTAAGCAGCTCAACCATCGTCAGTTGTCGAATTTGGAAAAGTTATTCGTGAGTTTATCAGCGAGAAATATCACGCAAAACCTGCAGCAAAATGTCAAATCGACAACGATTGATAGAGAGGCCATTTATGGATGGATGCGCGCATCATGTATATCGTTGCAACCACGCGTTCGTATAGAAGGCTACAATTCTCGATGCAACGGATCCTCCCAGGATCGCGTTAGTATCGGTATTTGCATCCAAAAATCACGTCGACGTTACGTCTGCGCGGATGACAATTGATAAAACGCGCAACTTGCACGGAATAAACATCGAAGTGATATTTATCATGAAGTTGTTTAAGCGATATTCGCTCCTGGATGTTATATATAATTAAAAGAAATAATAATTTATTCTTACAGAAACGTTATCTTTCTGGTAAAGGATATATAGCGTTTCTGTCAGTACAAAAACGTCTTCTGATTGTCATGTAGCGAAAAAATATACTTGGCGGGAGTCACTACCGCGTCTCCTGACGCCACGAAAAAAAACCGGCAATCTGTCGATCAATTTTAATAATCGAATTATCTTTAGCGTCGACGACGCTTTTATTCGAATCAAAGATTTCAAGTCAAAGAACCATTTGTGTAACATTATTCCAATATTATATTGATCGAATTTTAATTTATTTTTTTTATAAAATAAACAATAATAGCAGAATTTTTTCTGCAAGCACGTATCTTTTAATATAAATTATTTTTCTTTTGATTAAAAAAATTCAATGGATGAATTTAATTTAATTTATGGAGATTAATATTTTTATAAATCCATATTCATTTGTGTGGATGGAGTTTTCAAATATAGTTAATTATATTTAAATTACGCGATGCAACATTAACAGCAAAAATTTTACAGAGCTTCTATTTCTAGTATGGATGGGTAACTCACACTCGCCTCGCAGCAGTCCAATCCTTGCAAAGCCTCGCAGATTGCTTCGCTCGTTACTTTCGTATCTTTGCAGGAAACATCGGATTTGCTCGCAACTTTCTCCGATCGACTCAACATCAAACTTTTTCTCTTGCCCGTGGCACTCCCTCTAAAATTCGCACGGGGAAGATTCACCGGGAATCTTTCTCGAGAGAGGTAATCCTCTTCACACGCTCCAAATACGCATGCTGAGTCACGTCATGATCGACAGCTCCTCTTGACACTTGTAGGAGATTCTTTTTGACCGGCAGAAATTTCGAGCGCTTGCATGAATACGAAGAACAGAGCGAAAGATTTCAAAAAGAAATCTTTCAAAACAAATCGTATATAATTCTCTTCTGTATTTAATACGCTCAAACTACTATAAAACAAGTTTTTATGTTCAACTACGATGCAATATTAACAAACTCAATTATATCTACGTTCGAAATCTGTGTTCTGTAATCGTGCGACGTCAATAATTTATTGATTTATGCTGGAAAGCATTTGGAAAAACATTTAGATATTTAGGTTAAATTAAACAAATAACGAAAAAACAATCACAAATCAATTCCACTTTTTATTAACGACTCGACAAACTTTTTAATCATTAACATTGGTTATATCTGCAGTTGAAAGTAAATTATAATTTAATTTTCACTGAAATGTAAATTTGTTCACATCTAAAAATGTGCTACAAAAATGACGTACCAGAGTGTTCCCATATTTTCTGCGATCTTTTTACAGGAGGATTAAATTTTGCTACGTATTCTGCCTTTAAATAAAATAATATGAATTAAGGCAATTAAAACGACATTAAATGAAACATACAAATGTAAAAGCAATTATATTAATATTACTTTGTGAATATAAATTTTTGTATAAGTTAAATATATTTTTTAGAATTAATACATTTAAAGAGAGAAATAAAATTATCTGTAATAATCGGGAATATTAATTAACATTTTTGAAACGTTTATTTGACAAAAAAATGAAATGGAATAGAGGAGAAATTAATAAATTTAAGAAAATAAGTATAAATGTAATAAAGGTAATAACAATTTTTTAAACGAAACATTTTGTAAAATAGATATTAAGTACAAATTTCTATTAAGATTTAATCAATTAAATTTATCAACTTAGCATAATAAGCTAATAACTTGATGGTTCAATCGAGATTCTGTTGATTTTCTACCTTAAACTTCACAGAAAGAAAGATTCTACAAAGAGTTATTATTTCTAGCATATAATATAAAACTGAGTTGGACGCGAGTTATCGACTTTCTATTTTAACTTGGAAATAAGCTCATTGTCAGAGTTTTAATAGCATTAAATTAATTTTATTACACAAACATTAAATTTATTACTCAAACATTAATTTTATTATACAAATATTGAATCTCAATACAATTATTACAATAAAATGAAACTTATTGTATTAATCATTTAGTTTCGAATTATTTTATGGGTATAAATTTAGTTTAAGTGCGACAAATAATTATCGACAAGAGGTATTATCGATGTCCTCTTACAATGTGAATCCGTATCGTCCAATTACATACAATATCAAATTCGTTCAGTATAACGATCTAGAGAAATAATGAGGCTACTAATGCCGAATTTAATTTACAACATAAGGTGTACAGTTACAATTGACCGTATAATTAAAATCAATAAAATAACATTGTAAATTGATTGAACAACTCATTTGTCTCATTATTTCAGTATCTGTTAATGCATAATCTGTATCTGTTAATAATACAATGTGATACAGAATTAATCTCACTTGATTTTTATTATTAATAAACAATACAAAAACAAGATGAATTAAGATTTTATTGAAAAACGAAACGCAAAGAAGGAACGTTAGTTAGAGTTTGAAAAGAATAAACATAGCTTTCTTTATCAGCGTTTCTGTGTTAGCAGGAGCGTAAACAGGGATCGTTACCATTAAGTCGGATTAGGCGAACGTAGCAGGAACAAACATTGTACTGTTACGAACCAGTAAGAACGTAAATCGTAATCAGCGACATTGATCACGATGGCTACGACATCGTTACAACACAACACGTATTGTCTACGTGTGTGATTTGCGCGCGCGCGTATAATGTGTGGATGTGTGTCCAAAATCAAAGTTGGCGGGTGTGCGACATATCTGTGCGTAATTCACTTTTTATCGTATCTGATAATTCCTTGGAAGGACACTTGAGCGAAATAGTATTAATTATAAGTTCTCTTTTGAAGTAATTACGTGTAGTTGGCTTATAGCGCCCCATTGTAGGAAATTTCATTTCCAATAACCGCGTGAAAAAGCACTGAGGGCGAACGCGATATCCCTTAGGTGCGATGGAACATCGTTACATTACGAAGATGCCTTTCACATAGAAATAAATTCTTTATTTACTTTGAGGATTATTCAGAAACAGCGTTGGCAGTTTTAATAAAAAGTTAATATCCCGTAAAAAAATATATATAAAATATTATATAAAAATATCTTGATATATATATATATGCATGTATGTACGCGTATATAATTTTATCAAGCTGTCTCGCAAGCAGAAAGCTTTTCACATCTTCTTCCTCGTGCACTTTCGCTACGGTTTGCAATTTTACCGATGAGAATAACTCAATCTTTAAGCGACGACAGAGATTCAAAACACCGGAAAATCATGAGGGGGCGTTAAGAGATTCATAAAGGGACGCTGTCAACGATATACGGAAGATCGATAAAAGGCACCTCGTGCAACAAAGTGCGTCGCGTATCGGTTTACCGAATCATAACCGCGTTAAAGTCTGACTCATCTGCCTGGAAAATATTTGCCGCAGCTCCGCTTATGTGGAAAAGGGATTGCACGTGGGCGTGAACTCACCCCCGCTTCTCGTGCAAAAGTGAAACATGTCACACGAACGTTAATGTAGTTCTAGAGCACGGAATTTAATTCGACTCGTTGAGAGATGTGAGAATAATCATTTTTATTTTTCACATGTCAATCGAAGGCTATAATTTATCGAGCTGAACATGAGAGAAAATCATATTGCGAAACAAACATGTTATTAAAAATTGCACATATATATCACGTCATTAAACGTATTTGAAAATCTAAATTTAAGTTGTAATAAACATGAGATAAAATCATGTTACGAAGCAAATATGTTGTTAAAAATTGCGCATATATACACGTCGTTAAACGTATTTGAAAATCTAAATTCAAGTTGTAATAGTTTACAAAGCATGTATGAAGCATATAAATTTAAATAATGTAACTTTTTCACGATAAAATTCCGCATTCCGCATGCGAATATAAATTTTTATATAAAATCCCATAACCTTGCCTGCAAAAAAAAGATAGCAAGATATTATAAAGTTATTGGGATGACTCGTTAAAATATGGTTAATAAAAGCCGTCTACGTGCCGCTGCTTTGTGCGCAGACCTTCTCGTACTTTGTCTACTACGATCGCGTCGCACTCTTTTGCACTGCCCTCCGTTATTAAACCGTACAACACTTCGTCTGCGTGAAAATGAACCCTTGCGCGCCCCTTCATCCACCTATTTCTGCTCCTGGCACTTCTACCGAACGCTAGAAACGCGCGAAAACCAGCCGGATTTACGGCAAGAACCAACGCACGAAGACCAAAGTAAATGGCCCTTTAAAAGTACACGCGGCTCTGTATATACATGACATATGTATTTATGTACAAGTATATATAATTCTAAATATAGATAGTACACAAATAAATTTATTAATACATTGGATTTTAATTTATAGAAGAAAAACATTTTTAAGATGACTACAAAGACGTGAAAATAATGTAAAATAATGTATTCAAACTGTAGTTAAATTAAAGATAATAGATTTGATATAGCACATTGATGACTGCTAACTTAAAAATAATTATAGCTATTATTTAATAAAATTATTAAAATGCAATAAAGCACATAAACACATACATTCTATATTTTATATGAAAGAAAAACTATATAAAATGCGCACGTTATAATGATAATATAACATGCATAATATTTCTAATAATGTTAAATATTAATTATTATAGAAGCCAAATCGTACTGCGGAAAATATTTTAACGTATAATAAAGAGTTTATAATGATACGTGAAATAAGAGAGTACGAATCAGTAGTGAAACACAAAGTACAAAAGGGCTTTTTCGTCGAGCAATGTTGAAGCTTTTAATCGCGATTCGTACTTACACAAAAGAATTCAAGAGGCTCGCGCTCATGTAATCTTCGTTGAACCCCGCTGTGAGCTCTCGAAAAATTCTTCTATTATTTTAGCTTCTTCACAAACCGCAATTTATTCGCGAAAGTTGATGGCAAAAAGTCAGTGAAAAATCTCAGTAGAAAAATATTTTTCTCATATGCACACGCGTGAAATAAGAGAGTTGGTCGAAACTCCGTTCCAAATTTTCCAAAGATATTCTCACAAAGATTCTTTTCACGTTTTATCTCGTGCTATATATTTTTACCATAAAATTGCATATAGCAGGCATTTTCCATAAAATTTATTTTATTTTAAAAAGCCGTAGCATTGAGCAACTCTTTTACAGAGAATAATCTTGTCTCTATTTCTTCTTTTTTTTTAATGAAATGGGTGCATATCAGCATTTTTCATACGCCCACCGTATCGAAAAAAAAAATTCTCTGCTATCTTTTTATGCCTTCTCCACCGCCCTTCTTCGGTATTGCAAGCTCGCGAAGGATCGATAATGGAAATACTCGAAGGGCATAGATGAAATTCCTGCTCTGAATCCGATAGTGACGAATATCCCATATTTAAGATCGTCGAAAATGTAGTCGATTGGTATTTGATGAAGTCGCTATTGAGGGAAAAGAATGCCTACACAGGTTGAAGCTATCTCCTTGCTAGTTGATTAACGACGCGATGGAACGCCATTATTTGTCGATCAAGAGCACTCATCAAATCAATAATGCAGCGAACCTCATAATTCCACATAATTTTAGCTTCATATAAATTTTTAATGACATAATATTTATCAATTTATTAGACATTTTTCTCCTAGCAGCTTAAATGTTTTTTTCAAATTTAACCAAATCAAACTTAAAAATTAATCGATTTCAATAAGAAATATATTTATAATTAATTACGATATTAAGTTTGATATCCAAAATGTTAACAAGATAAGATTTAAAGAACGCAAAACGTTTGTGCGATGCGACTAACGGATTTCTAATGCGTGTTACGCACCAATTAAATGTTTCGATTATTCTCAAACTAATAGTCAAAATGCTTCGGGATCTTCCAATGTTATGCGTCTACCAGTGAGACGCGAATTGAATGCACAAATGTATTGCGCATAGGTATGTCGAACATAGAACACAGTCGAATCAGGATCCTTTGTTAAGGACAAATCTACTAACCCGTTGTGCAGTGGTCCATCCCGAGAACCAATTGAATCAAGACCGTTTGTGATGGACGGAACGCAGACAAGGAATTCCCTTCAGGGCCAAGTCGATTACCAGAAAACAGGCAACTTACAACTGCAGGTGCAAATAATATGTGTGAGAAACCGTGAAAATAATCGGAAACCTTCATGGAATTCTCGTGCATAAAAATCTCATTTCAGCTTCGTATATCGTTTAAAGCTGAAATAAGATTTCAATCGAATCTACGTTACAAAATCGATTTCACGACATTTTAATTCCAATATTTTATGTAAATTTGATACATCTTTAATAACAGCATCTTTTCACAGATTGTGATATTTTATTTATCTTATATAATTTTTCTTTGGAATTTTTTTTTAACTCATGAAAACGCTATCATAT